ACCTGCGCAATATATATCCATTCACGCTAGATACTTTCCTTTTCTACCTCAGCCTAAATTGTGCATTGCAGTGGGTAGCTGATGACCTGAACGCACCGCCAGAAGAACGAGCGCTGGAAACTCCAACCATCGAGTACCATCGCGGCTCAGAACCAACAAACACTGGACTCAAACCGGACATGGTGTGGGCGGTACAGTGGGAGAACTATACCCAAACGTGAGTGGCGCCACAGAAGCATTCTTTCTATTTGTGGTCTGTGGTAGGGCAATTGGTGGTGAATTTGCAAAGGATAAGGGAGGTGCAATGGGGGTATTTTACGTTATGTAAAGTGGTATTAGGGCAATACATGACGGATTTTCAAGTGATATGAGTTGTGCAATGGGGGTCTTTTACCGTATAACAAGTAATAGGAGGCCAATTGATGGTAAGTTTTTACATGGTGTGAGTGGTACATTGGGAGAGTCATACCTGAAGTGGTGGTTGGGAGACTGGTGACTCAGTATGAGAGATTTTGTGGAGACTTTGTAGGCTAGGAAGGTCGTGGTGCAGTCAACGGCAATAATTCTCTGTCTTGTGTTGGTTGTACAATGGAAAGACTATACCCAAAATTATATATTGGCAGCTTTGTTGATCACAAGGCATGGTCTGGTTTGGATCCAACCCTCGGACAGTTAATCTCGACAGTCAGTGGGTGGTATACAGTGGTGGAAGAGTGGGTCATCGAAGACAAATTTTCGCCCAGTGGTGAATTTCATAGCGCGAGTATTTAACTTCATAAATTCAGCAGAGAGGTTGTCTTGCTAGAGTTCATTTTTCCGGGTGGATGGTTTGTGATATCCTTTCACTTCGTGTGGAGAACACAAAGTATCGAATACTCCAATTGCCCATAATGTGGATTTTCTTAGTATTCGCTCAGCTGCCAGTCACATACAATGCGGCTGTGCTGATGCAGATTCGGATATCGCAAGACATTGACTGTTGTTTGCTTGTGCTTTTGACTCCCAGATTTCATTCGGTGAAGTACTGTGACCAGCGCGTGCTGATTCAGAAGCCAATCTCAGACATCCGAGTTTTGAGCCAAAACACACAGCGGGCGCTGTTGCTGTACGCAGACGCCACGGCATTCCACAAAGGATTTGCGGAAGAGCTGTTCGATGTATGTACATCGCACCAGCGCTCATACAACGCATATAAATAAGCGTTGAAAGCGTTTGGCCTTGAAATAAGTCACCCAGCGGCTGTTTGAGCAGTCGAGCGTATTTGGATTTGTGCCATTGTATCGAAACACATACACGCCCTGAGTTATTAGGTCAGTCTTGGCCCAAAGCCGAGGCAGGTATGCGGTGCTCGGTAATACATACATGCTTGAGTGGCTCTTATATGCTTGATACTCGTTGTATATGTGCATTCGTAGCAAGAACTATTGGAACAACCAAATTTACCACGGTAAAAAAACCCCTCAATTACACCATTCGCCGAATAACATACTCGGAACACATTTGACGCTGGTTGAGGACAATACGTATTAAATCCAGGTAAATCATTCTCTCTCACATGGGCTTGCACGCTCAAGGGTCATTCCAAGAGCAAATGATCGGCATACCATCAATAATATGCTATCTATCTATAGTGCATCATCGCTCAGGTACACTACTTTGATGATCGCAAAGTGAATTGTTCTGCGACCGATACTCTCAAGTCATTACATCACTTCTTCTGCATATTATTTTCGGCTGCCAATATATATACATATATCTATAT